ACAGGACAAAGGAGACTAATGAGTTTTATAACAACCCACTCCTCTTGGGAGAACCAATCTGTTCCTCTGAGAATGAATCCAGCCTCACAAACTAAATCAGTCTTGTGGGAAACCCATGTTAACAGCCTAATCACCTCTTAAAAACACTACTACTCGACACTGCTACATTGGCAGTTAAATTTTAACATGTTTTGTTAGGAAGAAATTATATCCAAACCATAGTACTACTCTTGGCCAGAAAAAGGAAATGTAAATCCTCTCTGAAGAAAAACATCCCAATTCTATCTCCTCAATATTGCCACAGATTAAGCACACCCCCAAAATACTGCCTCGCAATAAAAAATTCTACACACATGAGGAAAAATATCACTATAAGCAACAATCCACAGATATAATAAATAATAGATTTAAACCTCCAGGAAGGTTTACCAAGTTTGAAAAGAAGCCAAATGAAACTTGAAAATGAAATAAAAAAATTTAAAATACTCAATGGACAAGTTAAACAGCAAAATAGATGTGGCTAAAAATAGAATTAGTGACGTGGATGAGAACTTTCACACAGAGATGAGGGAATTGAGCATATGTAAGGCACAAAACACAATGGTTAGAATAAAAAAGTTTAAATGGAGTCTAACTGTAGTGCTAAAATAGAGGAGACAGAAGTTGGAGAAGAGATATTCCAAGAGATAGTAGCTGAGAATTTTCTGGACCGAATGAACCAACAGATCCAGGAATCAAAAACTGTATCAAGAAGAACTGACAAAAATTCATTTGTAGAAACCTTGTAGTGAAAAACTACAGAACAACAAAATAAAATAAGATCCTTTGAACTGTTAGAGAGAAAGAAAGAGAATGTCTCCAAAACTCAAGAATTAGACTGACAGTGTACTTCCTACGGCATTAATGAGATCCATAGGACAATAGGAGAATATGTTCAAAAGGCTAAGGGACATTAACTGTGAACTTAGAATTGTACACCATGTAAAATTTTAACAATGAGGGAGAAGTGAAGACATTTTCAGATAAAAACTGAATTTCTATCGACAGAGCCTCACTTAAGAAATTTTTAAATGACCTACTCCTAAAAGAAAGAAAATGACTCCAGAAAGATGGTCTGAAATGCAAGACTGAATGGGGAACAAACAAACTGGCAATCTTATAAGTAAATCTAAATATATTAAGTACTACTACTTCTACCACCACCAATAATAATAATAGTAATGCCTGTTTTAAGGAGTTAAGACGCTAGCAAAATGTTATCCAACTGCATCTTTGGCATGCTGTACCAACAGTGAATCTCCAAAATTTACCATCTTTTGCAATCTGGATAAACTGAGAGTTTCTTAAATCATTAAGTCCTGCTTTCTTTTAGTTTACTATTTTATCAATCTAGCTTTTCCTTTTGCATGTAATATAAACAAGAAGAAACCAGGATGAATCTTTAATACTTTGCTTGGAAATCTCAGCTAAACATCCAGTTTTATCACTTACAAGTTCTGATTTACACACAACTATAGGGAACACAATTGGTCTAAGTTTTCTGCCGCTATATAACTCACTTTCCTTCAGTTTCTGACATGTTCTCATTCTTTCTGAGCCCTCACCACATTGCCTTTAATATCCATGTTTCTACCAATGGTATCTTTATGATGATTAAGGTGTTCTCCAAGACAAGATGTGTTCTCTCTACCAGGCTCCTCACTTCCTTCGAGCTCTCACTGGCAGAATCTTTAACATTCATATTTCTACTAAGAGTTTCTTCAAGGCAATCTAGAATTTTCAGTATTCTTTTACCCTCTGCCTAATGTCCAATTCCAAAGCTGCTTCCACATCTTTTTGTGTTTATTACAGTGGTACTCCACTTTCAGGTACCAAAGTCTGTATTAGCTTCCAATTGCTGTTGTAACAAATTACTGCAGACTTAATGGTTTAAAACGCACGAATTTATTCTCATAGATCTAGAGGAAAGAAGTCTAACATGGGTCAGCAGGGCTATTTTTCTTCTGGAGGCTCTGCAAAAGAATA